CCACAACTGGTGAAATTAAGATGCCCTTAATACTCCTAATGTGGAAATATAGCATCTCTGAAGAGCATCAGATGAGTGCCATGCTGCCTCAAATCATCTTCCAAGACGGCAATAGCTGGCTTGACTTTCAATACTGTCCCTGTTTATACACATATTTGGAAGACAGAAAACACTATTTTAGTTTACAATTGGGTAATGTATGGTTATCTTCTTTTCTCACTAACGTTAGAGTGGCTATTCTAATTCATTAAACTAACTTACTACCAGCTGAGGCAGTGGCTCATACCTGTAATCTCAGCACTTCGATAAGCCAAAGTGGCCGGATCACTTGAGGTCAGGAGTTCAAGACTAGCTGGCCAACATACCAAAACCCTGTCTCTACTAAAAATATAAAAAGTAACTAGGCGTGGTGACACACACCTGTAATCCCAGCTACTTGGGAGGGCGAGGCAGGAGAATTGCTTGAACCCAAGAGGTAGAGGCTGCAGTGAGTGGAGATCATGCCACTGCTCTTCAGCCTGGGTGACAGAGTGAGACTCCATCTCAAAAAATTAAAAAAAAATTAGAAAACCAACAACTTAGCACGGATTTTTGGGTTGCTTAATGGCTGGGACAGTATACAGACACAAATTTGGAACAAACAGATGATAGTTATAATATTCATATTATTGCACTAACTCTATCACCTATTTTTGGCAACTATTTCTATTTGATACAGTTCATTAAATATTAAACTTTTATTGAGTACCAACCATTTTTCAGGCACTCAGGTTATAGAGTATCAACCTTCTGAGGTACTCACATTCTAGTTAAGAGAGCCATGTAAAACAAATAAACAACAACAACAAAAACAGTACAACAATAACAAACAGTAGTTAAAGTGCGATCAGGTGCTACGAGAGTTCAGGGCTGTAGAAGTTGAAAAATGGCAGAGAATAATTGCCTGGCAGCCTAGGCCATTTCAGCCAATGGGAAATCATCTAAAAAGTATCACTGAAACATTTACTTTTCAATAACTATTAGATTCCCTAAGTAAACATGTACTATTCTTTGGTGGATTATCTGCTAATAAAATTAATAAAAATTAAAATAACTTTCTAATTAGGTGTCATTATTTCATTCACATTTAATATTTAAAGGATCTATGTGGTCAGGAGTAGTGGCTCAGGCCTGTAATCTCAGCACTTTGGGAGGCCGAGGCGGGCAGATCACAAAGTCACGAGATCGAGACCACCCTGGCTAACACGGTGAAACCCCATCTCTACCAAAAATATGAAAAATTAGCTGAGTATGGTGGCACCTGCTTGTAGTCCCAGCTACCTTAGAGGCTGAGGCAGGAGAATCACTTGAACACGGCGGGCAGAGGTTGTAGTGAGCCGAGATCATGCCACTGCACTCCAGCCTGGGTGGTAAGAGTGAGAGATTCCATCTCAAAAGAAAAAAAAAAAAGAATCTATTCAAATAGGGGCCTGTCTACAGACCTCCTTCTTGATCAAAGCATTTTTATTTTTTGATCTTTGTTCATGTTCTCTACGGGCCTGCAATGATAGAGTAGGTAAACCACTATATGAATGTGATCCAACCCAGAATTCTTCCCCTCAGTCCACATCGTTTAAAGACTCCTATTAGAGGCAGCCAGGTAGTAGATGATAAGTTGTTTTTCCAGGCACATTTCTAACATGTATTTTAAAATGATTTCTACTATCAAGGCACACAATTTCTTCACTCTACACTGACACAACATTTTGTAATCAAGAGCATTTGAATTTAGGCTGATTTAGTTTATCAAATCTCTAAAGCATAATTAAAAGTCCATATGGTCTCATTTGACTTGAGTATTAAGCACTGACAATCTTCGAGAGATATAAAATAAATAAGATTCAAAAAACTGCTGTCTCTGCATGGTTTTATACAAAATTATAAGTAAGTAAATGACTAAAATGAGTGACAAGAGATGCAATCACCTTGGAAAAACACCTAATAAACAGCAAAAGAACCCACATTACACCTGACTTTGCCACAGACTATCTGTGTGGCCTTTGATGAAGCCTTTGTACCTACTATGTGAAAAATGGATGGACTATTCACTATCTCTAGTCTACCTACTTTAAAGGAAAGAATAAATAAAATGAATGGAGCCAAACTATATGCTCTCTACAGGATTTCCTTAGGATCAAACATTGTGAAAGCTTATTTAAAATGTCCATTATAAATTTTCTCCACCCCTTCATCCCAGGTTGTGAAATTCAGTCCCACTGTCCAATCATTTACAGACATCTGGAAAACCTAATCTATGCCCAGTGTAAGATACCAAGGCAATTAACAATTAAGCTGCTATATGTGAATCATGTGTTCTATGCAGCTACTTTTTGGGCCCTCCTGTGTTATTGTCACAACAATGCCCTGTAAATAATACAGGCATTTGAGAAACTCAGTAACTTTTAGAATGAAAAGGAACAGTTTATTATTTCAAATAAATCTAGTAGAAAAATCTCACTGGGAACACACGTTCATAAGCACATAAAACCACACCAGAATAAGGAATACTCGAAAGAGTACTGCACACCATTCTTCAAAATACTCTCCGCTCAAAAACTATAAATAACATTCTGAAATGAAAACAACCCTTCACAATGATAACATAAAAGACTTCCTGTAATAATAATACATGTATCTATGTCCACATACTATATATAACACATGCACACATGCCATGTCTGTGCGTGCAACCAAACTAAATGGCACAAAGCAAACTTAGTAAATGAAAAACGCATTTCAAAAGAACCACCACAAATAGCCCAGAGGAAAAACAAGAAAGAAGTCCACAAAGAAAGTCAAGCCAATGTCAAATGAGAAATTATGGCAAATTAAAGTTTATTTTGAGTAATACCTTATGTCAACCACCAAAAACCACTAAAAAGATGCTTTTCATGTAAAACAAAATAGTGACACTAGTAAGGAAATCTGTGTCCAGAGGAATCCACGAGAGAAAAAAATGCTTGGATGGTAGAAAAAAAAAAATCCCACATGCTATGCATCTTTTTGAAAGGTAGAGTATTGAAAATAAAACATATTTTCCTATACTTATACTGCGTCATTCAAGTTGCTGCAACTCAAGACAAATGTACAGCAGAAACTGGAAGGAAAGAAAAGGCAATCAGGACATTCTTTTTTTTTTTTTTTTAACAGGGTCTTACTCTGACAACTAGGCTGGAGTCTAGTGGTATGATCTCAGCTCACTGTAGCCTCGACCTCCTGAACTCAAGTGATCCTCCCACCTCTGCCTCTTGAGTAGCTGGGACTACAGACTTGTGTCACCATACCCAGCTAATTTTTATTTTTTGTAGAGACAAGGTTTCACATGTTGTTGAGGCTGGTCTCAAATTCCTGGACTCAAGTGATCCTCCTGCCTTGGCCTCCCAAAGTGCTGGGATTACAGGCATGAGCCACCATGTCTGGCTCCTTTTCATCATATACTTCTTCAATCAAGTGACTGAAGAAGAGAGATAGCACCCAGATGAAAACCAAAGGGAGCTGGCAGAAGGATAGTGTTCTAGTTGGGAAAAGATGACAACCTAGAGAGAATAAGGAAGATTTGTGTAACATTTTAAATGACTCAGGTAAGGAAAAGACACACTTGATTACCAAATCTTCCAGAAGCTGCTTCTAAAATCTGATGTTAGCTACCTTTAGGAAGGTGACTCTGACAGAGAAGGTTTGAGGATTCAAAACGAGCTTGGATAAATTCATGAATGGCTAAGATAAGCTGAGATCAATCCCTATCCTTTACAGTTGACGTCAGAGAGAACAAGTGTGCCCTCATAGCCTACAGTGGCTGCATATATTTGAAATGTTGTGGGTGTACAGGCCATTTCTATGTTTCCAAGTTACATGAAATATATCAATATATTATTTATTAAATATAACTCTAATGGCCATATTAGAAAAGCCTACATGTTGTATATTTCTAATCACCTTACTGCCTCATGACAAAATTCAGTCATGTGATTGTCCTCATCTATATTAGAAAATCTGGATTTACTCTTCATCAAGGCCCTGACAGAATTTTTAGTATGTAGTACCAGAGTTAGAAATCAACAATTTAGCAAAATTGTTTTGAGTGGCTATTTCCAGAGGTAGGATTAAAAGTAGTCTGAATAGAGAAAGTCCTGCAACAAGCCCTACAATTCCTAATAAATGGGATTTGATGTTGAGGTTAAATTGAGAGATTCAATCTGAGGTTAGAAAACTCACTACAACAATAGGTATGTACATGGCTTCTGCTAGTGTGGGATACCTAATAAAAAACAAGGATGGTGAAGAGAATACCAAGGGATTTACTGATGGCTCAACCAATAAAAAGAATTTAAGTTTGACATAGAGAACAGAGTTTCTTAAAGTGATTCCATCATTAAAATGAAATTGCAATAGAGCATGTTTTCCTCAAAACCATTACATTTATTTACTAGCTTAAGTTAACCGACTCCCTACTTTGATGGAAGTTACCACCTCACTTTCATTACTGGACATAAACTAGTGGTAATAACCTCCCAGAGAAGAACCTCTATTCACTTGTTTTATATTTACTTGAGTTCACTGAACCGAAGCTAAACATATATACCTATAATTGTGCTATTTGGGGTAGAACCGAGGGGATTTTGTGTGTAATTAAAGGTAAAAATCACGTATACTCATTAAAACTAACCAATTCACTATATTCTCCTCACATACTATAATTATTACTTAATCAGAAAACTACTTCCCAGCCAGTCTATTGACTATATGGCAGAGCGGTCTCTTCAGTATTACAGAAATGCTCATTCAAAGCAGAAATATTTCCCAGGGAAGTGGTGGACCCAAATAAACGGACTTTGGAGGCCCCATGTCCTAATCACCTTTTAGAGCACTGTATATATACAATAACAAATTGTATCTCTTCCAAAAATCAAAATTGACTTTTACATTAAAAAAGAATTACCAACGAATTCAGCAAACCTTACTTCTGGTAGTGGGCTGGCCGGTTTGGTTAGGATTCCTCCTACATAAACAACATTAGGCAGAGTGGGTCTTGGGAATTCCAGTGCTACGTCAGTACACAGCATCCACAGGCTGGACCCATGAACCAAATCATACATGGACTTCTCCGGCAGCAGGTTGTACTTCTGCATTATCCTTTCGTATTTGGGAAGAACTAGAAAGCTGACCCCTAATCTGGAAATGAGGTAAACACCGGTATTTTTCATCCTTTGCAGCAAGTTCATGCGGTCTGTGAGGAGTGAGTTAAACTCTGGGACGTATGCTAATGGAGCAGGAGCACCCACTTCAGCAGGATACCAAAGGCCAGTTGAAAATACAGCATATTTAACCCCTAAAAGATGAGCTATCACAAATCCACACATATCATTAGGGTCCACCAGCAGCAGGTCAAACTTTTCTTTCTTCAGACCCTGGATCAGGGCATGGTTGCCAACCATCATGTCACAGTTCTTAGTATAGTGATCCAGTATGTCAAACAGTTCGATTGCTGTCAATCTCCCAGAGAAAATATTCCGCATCTTGGACTGTAGGAAAGCATCTGAGGTGGTACTGTTAAAGATCCCTGGGTAGCGCTGGAGGCTGTAATGATTAGATGGGGCGATGTCTCTGCCTTCAGAGAGGAGGAACACTGTATGGTGGCCTCTCTCGTGCAAGGCTGAGGCTAGCGTCTTGAAAATGTACATATGGCTTTCAAACATAATTGGCGGCACGATGATGATTTTGGCAGCCTTCACTATCCCAACAGCACTCCACAGGAGCATGAAATATGGAGTGTAAGACTTCATAGCTGTAACAACAACCAGAAAACAACTTAAAACAAAATACAATGCTCACCATTCAAAACAAGCAGTCACAAAGCATTTTTCCCCAAAAATATGTGATCTAATACTTTGTCTAAAAAAAAAATCACTATTAAAAATTATCCTGATATTTGTTCTAATTACCGACTTATTTTTGAAAGATCAATTATGTTTAAGTATAGAAATGAAAGCAAAATTGACATAAACTGAAATATATTAAAAATGGATCTATTTGGGAAGAAAATTGCATTAGTAAACTATTTTCAAACATTTGAAATAACATTTTGATAAGGTTGAATGACACATAATATATCTTTTTGGAAGGAGATCTATGAAATATCTATGGAACATCTGTTCATCTTCTAACTGAATGTCATTGTTAATCCCAGGAAGAAGAGCTGACCTTTTTAATTTCCAGGTATATGAGCATGTGCCTCTTATTTAAATCATTTTAATTCAACAGTTACATTTGCAGTTATAATCAAAGCATACTAAAGAAAGATTGTTTTAGAAAATAATTATTTTGAATGGTAGTTTGGTGATTCTGCAGAAAAGATTTTTTTCCAGAGGAAAAATAATCTTTAACATATATTTTCCCTTTACCTAAATACCATAAGTGTCCCAGCAATCTATATTTATGTAATCTAGGTCAATTTGCTGATGCATTTCAGGGCATTATGTAAAAGAGAAACTTCTAATAGAAAAACTCAAGAGGGTTAATGAATCTCAGTAAATACTTATTGAAAAAGGACTGATGAATGATTATGTCTCAGATCACACTTGCTATGTTGTACCTTTAACTCAGGTGCAAATGTCAAGTCAGATGATGCCTGTACACTTGAGGGCTGGTACTTCTCCTACTTTTTCATATTAATAGATATGTATAATAAAGTTGTCTTCTATTTTTTTAGAGATAAATATATTATACATGGGGACCATATAAGTGTGCAAATACACCCACTAACCTATTCAATATAATTAATTCTTATACTCTAAATTAGACCCCCAAATAGATCTAAACACTCACTCATGCAAACTGGACACATTTCAAAAAACTCAAATTAGATTTATACACACATCACCAAATTGATACCTATTTTTACCCCTTAAAATACATTAACCTTCTTATTTGTATAAATTCCTACCAACTAAATGCAGTTTTAACAACTATACCTTCTCAACATTCAAACACTGCAAGCAACCTAAAGAAACCAATAGCAGGCAACTAATGGATTCTTCCAATAACAAGAGTGAACTCTAAAATACATATATATCCAGATTTTTTTTCCTCTCCTACTCTAAGGAAAGTTTCAAACTATTTGAAAGTTGAAATTATACCATTAAGAATAAGTAAAAGTAATGCATATTACAAACATATAATATAAATGTCACTTGCATTATTATAAGGGCTTAAAAAATAATTAACTTTGGAGAAGATACTGATTCTATACTAAAGTTTACTCTACAATTACAAGATCAGTAAAGAAACAAAATTAAGGGGCCTATCTTAGAAAAACCTTCCAAATCTTTATTCTACTGTACTGCCTCACCTATGTGTCTCTACAATGTTGCCTTCTCACAAATCTGAAAAAGGGAAAATGAGAGATTTTACAAGGAAATATTATCAACTCCAGGGATGAGACTAATGCCAATACAGGTAGGTGTTCCAGCAGCTACTGCCCACTGCTGTCACTTCTTGCATATTGGAGAGGAGAGTACTTGATGATGGAACGATGGTAAAAAACTGCTCTCCCCACTGGGTTCTGGATCTAGCTGAGCAGACCATAGACATACTCCGTTCAGCTACAGTTAAAACTACTTAATCTATCATAAGTAACTTAAAACAAAAATGATCATAGAGAACAAATCCTTTCACTGTGTTTTTGTTTAATTCTTCCTTTTTAATATTTTATTTCAGTAATTACTAAAAAGTAAAAAGAAATCACATAATTTTTTAATGAACAACTGCTTATATTTTAGAATAGCACTGTCAAAGAGAACTTCCTGTAATGTCAAATATGTTCTATATCCTCACTGTCCAATATAGTATCCCCTATCCATGTGTGGCTACTGAACAGTTGAAAATGTGGCTGGTATGACAGAGGAACTGAAACAAATTTTATGTAGTTTTACTATATGTTGCTAGTGGTTACCATACTAGAATAAAGTTTTAATGTATATAGATTCTAAAAGTTACTGTTCAGAAATACGAATACTCATGTGACAAAATACTATCTAGAAATCATACCTACTAGTTTTCCATACATCTTCATTTAACAATACTGATTACCAAGAAAGAACTATCATTTACACAAGCATGACATTCTACTGTTAAAACACAAAATTAAACAGCACTTTAATCTCATAAACATCATTGTACAAAATGACTAACACAACTAGCAACAAACACTGAGATTCTTGCTAGTCTAGAATTACTTGAGTATGTCTACTGAAAACATGATTTTCTGACATAATTATTGTATCATATCCTAAATTTAATATTTTGCTTTTTAAACCTTTACAGTTAGGGGTTTCACTTACAAGGTAGGATACCGTACCATAATTTCTTACCAAGATACAAGCACTTACAATATCTGTTCATCAAAACAACCAAATAAGCATTCATTGATTCATACATTGGTACTGAAGTACCTGATGCCACACAAAAATGTTTAAACTTTAATTATGACCCATCATTTTCAATATATGACTTACGGTAGCACTTGACATTTAAAATGCCAACAATATGGATTTTTTAATAGAAGGTTAAAAAACGCTATGTCTATAGTTTCTTGCCTAATAACACCAGGACAGGGTTGAATGAGATTTTAAGTGTAGTAACGTCCAAGCAATCAACTAAAGCATGAATCCACTCTTACCAATGCTTGTCAAACCTGAAGGCTAGTGACAACTGAAAATTTCCCCTATTATTTTTATTATTTAACATACTTCTCAATGTAATAAGAAATAAAGGAGGTGAAAAGATAAGAAATCAGGAAACAAGACTTACTGAGTATTAAAAGATTTTCTTCACAGGAAACTCTAAAGAATTAACAAGGCAAACGAGTAAGAAAGGTCAAGATTCCAGTTACCAAACACACCTCCCTCAACAGCTTTGATCACCAGAAATAAGTATTTATATGTTAATCTATTTATTTTTCAGAAAGACACTGGGAGTTATTAAAAAATAATAAATACCCCAAATGACAGAAATTTTTATTTTTATGAAGCTTGCATTCTATTGGAAAGAGAGAGAAAATAAAGAAAATAAACAAAAGTACATACTATATAGCCATTTGAAAAATATTACCAAAATAAAAAGACCTTCTATATCCATTTCTTAAATATAAAAGTTTTTAGCTGTTGATTTTAGTTAACTTAAGAATCTGAATGTTCTATTTGGATTGAGATTATAAAAAATTTAAGGAAGTATATATTGGTATTTTAATGTGTTTTGTTTTTGTTGTTGTTGTTGAACAGATTTCTTTTTTAATATAATGACTGTGTACACGGACAACTGAAAATAGGGAAAACCCCCAAATTAATGTTTTAACAAATTATAAGCTGTTACTAAAGACCATATGCCTGTATTAAAAAAAAAAAAGTCCAATAGATGAAGTCTCTCATTCAACCCAGCAGTTTAAACAATTTCTCTTTTCATAAAAGTTGCACATTTCAGTGGTATAAATTTATCTTTTTTAACATTTCACATAAAAACATGTGTACCCTCTCCTTCTATATTTAATCATTAGTAGTCTCTAAAATGGTAAAATAAAATTGAATTTATATTAGCAAATGAAAGTGCAAGTTTGTATAGCTAGGCTCAGCAGCAAAAGTGAAAAATAAGAATGAAAGATTAAAAGCTGACACATGCCGCTCAGAGCAAGGACTTCCATGAAGGTCTGTGTCCTGTGTGCCAAACACAGTCAATATTCCATCATTTTCTCATCGCTCTTAAACGAGCAAAACCAAATTCTTTTTCTATTGAAAGAAATATTAAATCTTTATTTTCCCAACATAATTTGTGATCAGGTAAGGCAAAGAGAAGTCCACCACCACTGGGGACAGCAGTAACATACAGACTTCAGAAATAGCCCTGAATCATCAGTAACATTCTCTCTTGGTAACATCAGAAGGAATGCAGCTAACAAATTAAATTTGTAATGTTGTCACATTGTTCTAGTTTATTTGATTAGTTTATCTAGAAAAACTTTATAAATACATTATGTAAGAGGGCAGTAAATTATTTTCTTGCTTTGAAAAAATAAAGTTTTTTCATATTTTAAAACATTTTAGTCTGCTTTTGCAAAAGGAGTTGCAAGAAAACCGTGACAGCTGGGTTTGCAGAATGTCCATGTACAAGTTGTATTTATAAGAACCTGGTAATCTGCCTATAATTTGCTTCTACAAATAGAGCTTTTTGCAATAATATTTAAACAAACAGGCTTAAACTCTTCCCCTATTCATTCTACTTGTAGAGCAAAGAGGTACTTATTTTTCAAGTATTATAAAAGGTAAAATTTTTTTTGCCAATTTTACATTTTAAGCTTTCAAGACCAAAAAAAATCATGCCTAGTCAGCCCATTTCTTTTATAATCAAATTCTCTTGTCTTTTAAAGAATGCAGAAAAATATTGATTGCTAAGAAGGAGCACACTGGAAAAGCCATTTTAAAGTATTGAAGAATGAGACATATTTCTTTTTTCCTATTGATGAAAATTATTAGAAAAGCTATCCAGTCTGTCGTCTTTAGCTAGTTTTAACAAATCTTTTCAAAATGATGACCAAGAACTCTTTAAAACACAGAAATAAATGTTGAATTTCATCCACAGTGTAACTGTTTTCTGCATCTAAAGTTTACACGTTTGTTCAGAAGGAAATACAAAGAATGTTAAAGTGAATCAATATTATACTCATTATTTAATCATTCGTTATTTTGAACTTGTTCAGTAACTTACTATGTAAGAATTATAAAACTTCTGAGAAAC